ATAAGCTGCAGGGATTCAGGGAGTCGAAGCTGCTGTGTGGGATTTTCTGGAGAGTCCCACCACTGTTAGGACTGGAGAGATCTGAGGTTCAGTAGGAGGGTTGGAGTCGTAGTCCATGCTGGTTTCTTAAGCTAAGGCAACAAGTCCATATGCTGGTTTCATGGCAAAGCTAACGAATATGAAAGGCAAGGTGAAAAGCAAAGCTAATGACACTTATATGGTTAAAATCACGATACACAACACAAACTCGTTCTTTTACATTATAATCAATAAGTCCACCAGTACATGGAAAAAGTTATCACAGACTCATATTGACCTCTTGTGATCACGAAGAAGGGTTCAAACCCTTTATTGGATAAGCTGGTCGTCAACCAAATGCAGAGTCTATGAACATTATTGGCTCTCGTCACACATATCAGTTCACTCTTGACGGGGTGAATAATCAGCTCTGCCTTCTACGCACAAACACCGGAGCTAGGCAGGGTACGACTAAGTAATCTCTTTACCTGAGAATGTTCATTTGGTTGGGAGTTTTAATCCAGAACAGTCCAATTACAATAAGAAAGAAAACAAAGATTGACATATCAGGCATTGGGAAGCCAGGTGCCTTTGTAAGTGCTGAAGATACAAGTGGTGTAATACCAGATACATATTTAAAACAAACTATTGATAATCTACATGAACTCCATCCTTTGACCTCGTGGAACTGTAGAAGATTATACATTCTATATTTGAAAACACACATTTTAACCTTCCAATTGTAGATTCTTAAACAGTTATTTATATCCATGTTTTTAACATATTTGACTACATGTTAAACCTCTCTTTTTAAACTATTTTAACTTTCTGATTGACTACATGAATTATCCACATCTTGAAGGTCTAAAAGGTAATTTAGCCCAGGGGCTTACATTTTAGATTTAAACAGCATTGAAAACCTAATTTATGTTGTCATTACATAACTACATCCATAAAGATTGGTAAGAAGTTTGCCTTTTGATCCAATATTTTTCATTGTATTGTTGAACAAATTTAGTGTGCAGTCACAGAAGACTGCTGTTTGTTAAAGAAAACTGTAGAAAATGTCCACTGTTAGTGTTAAAAGTGAAATGAATCGTTTAGACACTTGTTGGTAAATGGTCACAATCTATACAGAAGATTCCTCGTGACTTAACCTATTTGTTTTAACTGATCAAGTTTACTGAAGGAGAAATATTTCTTTGGTTCTGTGATTTCAATGTGTTTTTCATTAAGAATAATGTCGCTGATCATTGATATTGATCCTTACAGAACACACACGCACACACACACACACACACACACAACACTGAGTATCTTAATGCTAAAGGTCTGATTTTTTCTTCAGGTGGTTTCGGTCCATTGACTGTGTAGGGCAGAGCAAATGTTGAGCTCCAATTTAAAACCTGAATATAACAAGAAAGAATCTACACTGGATAATTTCACTCCTGAACCTCTTTCAACTCTTTGATTTTTTTATATTATATTAACATCATGATTATTATTTTTTTGCATTGTGATGAATATAATAAATAAATAAATAAATAATCAATTATTTTTATTTATCAGACCAATAACAAATAGATTTAATATTTGGCTTTTTCCACATTTTTCATTGAAGCTTATGCATGCTTTCAAACTTACCATCATTTCAGCAGCCAAGTCACGGGTTTGAAATGTTTATTACAGCAGTATACAGTATTTAGATTTTTGGAGTCTAGGCTCGACCTCATCAACTCCCACAGATATGATTTAACATAGAGATTATTGGGGAGTGAGCACAACATACCTTAACCCCCAGTGGAAGCCTACAGGTGGAGTGCTTTGCGGGGTGGTGGTGGGGCTTACAGGGAAGGCAGGCAGCAGCAATACGGATGCAGGGCAACCAGCGGCATTTGACAGAGCAGAGGGAGAGCTAGAAATGTTGCCCAGTTTAAATAGGGGCCATATTGGAAGGGAGCGCTTTGAGTTAGTGATTATGGACAGTGAGGCATGTAATGTGTGTATAATCAGCGCAAGTTCGCCAGCTCGAGTTGACTGCCCTGAACTAGAGCTCGCAGGGCTTCACTCCATTAAATAACATAAATAAATCTCTTATTTCAACTATCTCAGACAATAATATAAATGTATATTTACAGTAATTTGTTTTTTCCAAGTAGTTTCTACTGAATCCCATATGATGCTTCTAAACTTACATCTTTTATTCTTATTCAGATTGAGGTGGTTGTTCTCATCAGTGTTCTTTGCTTGTATCCACAGACCGGGGCTCGGAGGACCGTACGGGCCGCCCAGTACCCGAACGACCACTTCCGCTCCGTGACCGGAAGTCGGTCGCTTACACTTTGCCCGCCTCGGATGAAAACTGGTTTCTGTAGAAAAGCGTCAGTGTTTTATTTTCCATCTCAAACTGCTGGACTGTTGTTTTAACACCCTGAAGTCAAAGCTGCCAGA